TTTCCTTTAATTATTAGGAAGACGATTGTTACCGTTCTGGGCCCGTATTCAATAAACTTCTAAGACATTTTTCTTAAGTCTAAGAAAATGTCTAAGAATTTGTCTAGGGTAAGAAAGTTGCCTTAGCCGTATTCTAAACACGTAAATCAGTTTGTCTTAGCCAAGACGAAAGATAAGACAAATTCTTAGACCCGATGACGTCATGTGGGAAAGTTGATGTGGTCGACTCGAGCGAATTAATTGCAACTCGATTTGCCTATGTAATTTGCGTGTTAAAATAAAAATCGCACCGCACGAAAATTATACACTAACATGTATGGGAGAGCGGTAAGGGAGGAACGATGCTCACATAATTATTTCGGGATTGACCAACTGACACTAAAAACAGTCTAGTCAAGACCACCTGAGGCTAGATCTAACATCCACTGTAGGCTTTTTATACTTTTCTGTCAAACAACTCCGAGGAGCCCAACCGGGCTTACTTATTATGTCGCAGCCGCAGGTCTGTGAGTATGAAGGGAGCGCCGTCGCTAGCCGGCCGACCAGCGCTAGTAGCATGGATTTGGAGCTACCCTTTCATTGTTTTACATCGTCTACTGTTATGATGGCCTAAAATTAATCAAATGGCTAGATGTAACCTTTATCAGACTCATACTAGATCTATAACAAATTTTGTCTCACCTAATATTATGCCGATTGCACATTATTCCCTGTTTCCATACTTTAGCGCCAAAGACTAATAAAGTAAGAGACGGTTCGTTTCTTTATATACGACAGCCATGTCATGATTTAGTGTTATGCATACTTACTACTCGTTTAGTTGTCTACAAACAAACATACTAGTACGTACAAAGAGCCTATGGCGCTCCTGCGCGCTGCGCCGTCGACGCTGTATATTACGCGAAGCTTACGTTGTTATATAGGTCAACTGATAACCTGCGCTCGCGCTGCGCGCGCGCTGCATGCATTGTTTTTATTCCATTTGATCGAAACCCGAAGCGGGTGCTTGCAGCATCACTGAGCTGCCGGTGCCAACCAAAGCCCATTTAAGCATCCTCGTAGTATGCTTAAATATAGGGTAGATTCTTACTTATCTTAGATATCTCGATTGTATTAGAATACGACATGCTACTTAAGTCCTTTTTCTTAGATAAAATCTAAGAATCCTTCTTAATCTTAAGGCAAATTTCTTAAGTCCCCATTGCTGTTATAGAATACGATTTTTGGCTAAGATTTTTTCTTAGCCAAAATTTAAGAAAAAGTACTTAGATTTCAAGCTTAAGAAGTTTATTGAATACGGGCCCTGGACTTTTAATCCTTGTCTGGATTCAGTTTCCCCCTCCTGTGCGAAAACGCGGAAGTTTTTACGTTTCATTGAATTATTATAGAAAGTAGACGACTCGTTGTACCGATCGAAACTTTTAATCCTATTCTCTGAATTCAGTTTCCCCCTCCCGAGCGAAGCGCGGAAGCTTTGATATTTCATTTAATTATTACAGAAAGAAGACGATCGTTGTACCGTTCTTGACTACCAGTCTTGTCTGAATTCAGTTTCCTCTAGTTAGGAGCGCTGGAAGCAGTTGGGATTGGGGGGCAAACATTCCAGGGGGCTCACCTTCCAGGGGCAGTGACGTAATGGGAAAAAAAACGTTCTGAAGGGGGGGGGGGGGGAGACGACGAAAAATCTGCATCACCACACCACCCAGGCGTACGCAGGGGGGTGTTTGGGGGTTAAAACCCCCCTTTGGTAATTTTATGTGTGTAAACCCCCCCTAAAAAATCCCTAAACCCCCCCCCTTGACTACCAGTCCTTGTCTGAATTCAGTTTCCTCTAGTTAGGAGCGCTGGAAGCAGTTTGGGATTGGGGGGCAAACATTCCAGGGGGCTCACCTTCCAGGGGCAGTGACGTAATGGGAAAAAAACGTTCTGAAGGGGGGGGGGGCAGACGAAAAATCTGCATCACCACCCAGGCGCGTACGCAGGGGGGGGTTGGGGGGTTAAACCCCGGCCTTTGGTAATTTTATGTGTGTAAACCCCCCCTAAAAAACTAAAATCCCTTAACTAAACCCAGTCCTTGTCCCCCCCCCCCTTGACTACCAGTCCTTGTCTGAATTCAGTTCCTCTAGTTAGGAGCGCTGGAAGCAGTTTGGGATGGGGGGCAAACATTCCAGGGGGCTCACCTTCCAGGGGCAGTGACGTAATGGGAAAAAAAACGTTCTGAAGGGGGGGGGGCAGACGAAAAATCTGCATCACCACCCAGGCGCGTACGCAGGGGGGTGTTTGGGGGGTTTAAACCCCCCCCTTTGGTAATTTTACCCCCCCCCCCCCTTGGTGGGGTCCAGGGGGCAGAGCCCCGGAAGCTCAGGGTTTTAGGTATTTAATTACAGTCAGATATGACCATCCAGGGGCCTGTCTTAGGGCCCTCGGTGGGGTCCAGGGGGCAGAGCCCCCGGAAGCTCAGGGGTTTTGGGTATTTAATAACGGTCAGATGAGCATCCAGGGGCCTGCCTTAGGGCCCTTGGTAGGGTTCCAAGGGGTATAAACCCCGGAAGCTCGTTTTTTTTTTTAGGTATTTAATTACGGTCAGATGAGCATCCAGGGGACCGCCTTAGGGCCATAGATGGGGTGGAGCCCCCGTAAGCTCTGGGGTTTTAGGCATTTAATTACGTTCAGATGAGCATTTTATATCTTATTTATGACATTGGCAGGTCACTTATTTTTTCTTTTTCTCTTTAACATCTTTTCAAAAAGTGAGGTGGGGGGGGGGGGAGGGGGCTCGAGCCAAGCCACTTTTCAGACCATGACATAAAGGCTTCGAAATAAGCGTATTTTTTCGCCCGACGTAATTTGGGAATTTCTTATTTTCTAACAAACGCATCAAAAGGTATTACAAAAAAAATGGAGAAAAAATACCGGAAAATAATGTCATATTAGCAACATTTGTAAAACACTGGTATCGAAAAGAAATACCCCCCCCCCCCCCCATCAGTACGCCAGCGTTCAGGGGCTCATGTCTTCTCACCTCTATCACAAAAAAAACAGACACGCTTTCCCATTCTCGCACAATATGTCCACGATATGCGCGTATCGCTATTATAAAGACCTCCATTGATAAATACCGTATAGGTGGGATGCGCAATGTTTATGAAATTTTCTTTGAATGGAATTGTATATGTGATTTAATTAAGGTTGTTATTATTTTTATGTTCTTTTGGGTTAGAAATACACAAACCATGTTTACTCCTTTACTGCTTTTTTTTTTTTTTTTGGAATGGGGGGGCGTTTTTGGGGGGCAAAAATGCGTTTTGCCCCCCACTTTTTTTATTGGGGGGGGGGCAACTGTCCCCATGCCCCCCCCCCCCCAACTTCCGGCGGCTATGCCTCTAGCTCCCGCGCGAAGCGTGGAAGCTTTGACATTACATTGAATTATTATAGAAAAAAGACGATTCGTTGTACCGTTCTCGACTATGAGTCCTTGTCTGAATTCAGTTTCCTCTAGCTCTCGCGCGAAGCGTGGAAGCTTTGACGTTTCATTGAATTATAATAGAAATTAGACGACTCGTTGTACCGGTCGCGACTTCTAATCCTATTTCTCTGAAATCAGTTTCCCCCTTCCCGCGCGAAGCGTGGAAGCTTTGACATTACATTTAATTATTATAGAAAGTAGACGACTCGTTGTACCGGTCTCGACTTTTAACCCTTATTCTCTGAATTCAGTTTCCCCCTCCCGCGCGAAGCGCGGAAGCTTTGACATTACATTTAATTATTATAGAAAAAAGACGATTCGTTGTACCGTTCTCGACTATGAGTCCTTGTCTGAATTCACTTTCCTCTAGCTCTCGCGCGAAGCGTGGGAAGCTTTGACGTTTCATTGAATTATATAGAAAGTAAACGACTCGTTGTACCGGTCGCGGCTTTAACCCCAATTCTCTGAATTGAGTTTCCCTCTTCCCGCGCGAAGCGCGGAAGCTTTGCATTACATTTAATATTATAGAAAAAAAGACGATTTGTTGTTCCGTTCACAACTTTTAATCCTGGTCTGAAATCAGTTTCCCCTTGAACCATAATGCATGGCCCTACAGAGGAATTTTTCCTGTTTGGGGCCGGTGGAAAATGCAATGAATTTTTGACAATTTATTGCATTTTCTTCGTTTTGGGGGATTTGTGGAAGGGGCTGCGTACCCTAGCAAACACTGCGTACAGTCATGATTCAGGGGCTAAGCAATGGCCTCGTTACTGTGAGGCCCCAGGATAAAAATCGTGTCGATCAGCTATTTAGTGCCCTTCTGTGAGGCATTAATCCTCATTACTGTCAATTATGACTTACGGACGTAGGTCCCTTA